TAAAAGTAAGAAGTATTATATTATATATATTAAACGTATAAAGTAATTTAATAAAACTCGATAATTAATTTATAAAGAAATTATCTTATTTCTAAGCTAGAATTATAATATTTAATTTATATAAAATAAAGATAATTTATTATTTTAAAGGTTTTTATCTTAATAATAGAGAATATATTTATCTAAATTATAAAATAATAAAATTTATAAATACTTATTAAATAAGCGCTCTCTATAGAAAATTCCGCTATATTTTTTACACTTTAAAATTATTTATTTTAATATTAAATTATTAAATATAGGATATAAATTATATAATATATAAAATATAATATTTAAATATAGATATTAAGGCTTAAAGTGCGAATCGCTAAATCTCTAATTTAAAAATTACTAGAAAACTCTTAAAATTCGAATTTAGCGGAAATTTGAGAAATACTTAATATTTAATTTAAGAGAATTTCGAGAAAGTAGATATAATTTATTTATTAATAATATTATTTTAAGCTCTATTATATATCTATATATCTATATTCTAATTTAAATAATTCTATAGAATAATCTAAGAAATAGAAAATTAATTTTAGCGTAAAGTTTATAGTATTAATAGATATATTTAAATAATAAATATTTTCTTAGAGCGTTTAATAATAAAGTTCTCTCTTAATTAGAATATTTAATTTAAAGCTATATAAGTATTTATATTATTAAAAAATATTAAAAAATAAAATTTATAGATAGCTAGATTTAATTAATTAAAAGTTAAAAAGTAATATAAGTACTTATTTTTTAAATATTATAATTTAAGCTATAATCTCTTTAAAAGATAGAAATTTAGCGAGCGTAATATATATATATAGAAAAATATTAGATATAATTATAAAGCTCTTTTTTAATAGCGAGATATATAAAAAAAATAATTAATAGATTAATACTTTTTTAATAGAAAAATTATATAAATAGATAATATCTTCGAGTATTCTAGAATAAATAATAATATATATTTTCTTATTAATATAAGATAGAAGTCTCATAATAAAATTACTAATAATTTTAATATTAATATAATATTTTTATATATTAAATATCTCTATTTATCTTCGAAGATATTTTCGACTTTTCTTACTTTTTCTAAATTTCTTTAAATTTCTTATTAATTAGATATTCGCTAATCTATATTTTATTTTTATAAATCTTATTTATAATAATAATAACTTAATCTTTAATTTTAGATTAATTAGAATTTTAAATTTAGAATTTTAAATTAATATAATAATAACGGCGATAAGATATAAGATATATATCTATTTTTTTATAATTAATTAGAGTAAATAGATAGAGTAAATAAACTAGATATATAAATTATTATTATATATTTTATTATTAATTTAAAAAAGATATTATAATATAATATTAATAGCGATATAAATAGAGAAAAGGCGATATAACTTAAAGTAAAAAAGAGATTTATATTTAATAAAATATTAGAATAAGATAATAATATAAAATTAGTAATAGTAGAGAAGAAAATAGAATAATATAATTAATATAAATATTATAGATATTAATTATAAAATATTAATTTTTTATTTATTTTAAAGTATATAATCGCGCTATATTCTACGCTATTTCGATTATATTTTATTAATATATTATATATTAATCTTAATAGTTATTCTAAATTAAATAAAATAATTTTAAATAATATATTTATATTAAGAAACTTTTAAGAAATATATTTTTAATACTATTTTTATCTTTTCGCTAGTATTAAACTATATAATACTTTATTATTTAATTTAAATCTTTATATTAAATGTAAAAATAAAAAATTAATATATATTAATAATAGCGTATAAGTTATTAGAGTATTTTTAAATTCGCTTAATTAAATAGTAAAAGTATATAAAGAAATTTACTTAATAGATTATAATTATATTAAATAATAAAGTATTATAATAAATTATTTAATAATTTTATATTCTATTTAGATATTCTATTATATTATTATATTACTATATTACTATATAATATATTATTAAATATATAAATATTATAAAAAGCTATTTTAATCTTAATAGAGGCTTATTTAAAAAAAAATAGCGCTATAATTAATATTATAAATTAATTATTTTAAATATATATCTATTAAATATAATACTATTATTTTTTTTAAATAGATTAATTATATTTATTTATATTATATAATACTTATTTTATATATAAACGAATATATATTTAAAGTTTAAAGAAGAGATAGTGTCGCGTAATAATATTATATAGATTAATAGTATAATATAATATTTATTTTAGTTATTTAGATAATAGATATAGTAGTTATTAAGTAAATTAAATAGATATTTATTATCTAGATATACTAGTATAGATATATAATTAAAGATATTAAAGATAGTTTATTTAAGATTATTTTTTGTAAACTAATAAATAAAAAACCTTTTATAAACCTTTAATTTTATATTTTTTTTTTATTAATTAAATTTTATTTATTTTTTAATAATTTTTAAATATTTATTAAATTAAAAATTTAAAAAAAAAAAAATATATTAAAAAAAAAATAAAAAAAAAAAAAAAAAAAAATAAAATATAATAATATTATAAAAAAAAAATAATTTTTAAAAAAAAATATTTTTTATAAAAAAAAAAAAAAAATTTTTTTATAAAAAAAAAAAAAAATTAAAAAAAAAAAAAAAAAAAAAAAAAAAAAAAAAAAAAAATAAAAAAAAAAAAAAAAAAAAAAATTTTTTTTTTTATAAATAAAATTTTTTTTTATATTAAATAAAAAATTTTTTACGCTTTTTAATAATGAATTTTTTTAAAATTTAGTCTTATAATTATTAAAGCGTAAGAAATTCAAATATCGCTTATTAAAGTTCGCTTATTAAAGTTCGCTCGACAGCTCTAAATAAAAAATATATATATATTATTTAATTTTAGAATAATCTTTTTATTCTCTATTAAAATCTTTTTATTTCTTTTTTAAATTTTAGAGTATAATTTAAGTATTTTAATAATTTAAATAATTTAGAAACTTAGTTTTATAATTATTTAAAGTTAAAGAATTTAAATATCGCTTATTAAAGTTTACTTATTAAATTTACTCGATAGCTCTAATTAAAAAAAATAGATTATAAATTTAATTTATAAGTTTAAACTCGTTTAATTACTAAGTTATATTAAGCTATTAACTATTAACTTCTATTAAATATATTTATTAAGTATAATTTATAATAGATTTCTAGAAGATTTAGATAGATTAATAAATAAGTTCTCTTAACGCTATTAAGTAAGATAACTTCTTTATAAATAATATAAATATAGCTATTATATCTTAAGATCTTATTATTTTATTTTTTAAATATTTATTATAACTCTAATTAAGCGTATTTTAATAAAATATAAATAAAAATAAATTAATATATATTCGCGATAATATTAGTTATTTAAGATTAAGAATTTAAGATCGAAGATTATTAGAACTTTAAATATTATTAGAAATTCGAATATTTAATTTTATAAGAAAACGCGAAATATTAGAAAATACGAAATTCTTAAATTCGATAAAATTAACTTAGATAACTACTATTATTATAGCTATTAATACTATTACTTATATTAATAATCTATTATTATAATTTTTTTTATAATAGTTAATACTATAATATTATAATCGTCGTCTATATTTTAATATAATATATATTTCTATCTTAAATTTAAATATAATCTATTTTTATTCTAGCGATATATATATTTAAATAGTATTCGATATTTCGAAGACTTTATTATAGACTTTATTATAATAATAATAATAAGATAGAAGTAATAAAAGTAATAGAAGAGATATATAATTTTTACGAAGTAATAGATCGATAAGATTTAAAAAATAATAAATTAAATTCTTCGATATAGAAGTCTTAATAGTAAGAAAGAATTAGAATTTATTATTCTTATTATACGAAGTTATTATAGAATTTTAATAAGAAGTAGATATTTAAGTATTAAATCGAACTTATCGAATTAAAAAATTTCGCATTTCTAGTATTTCGCGTTTTCTTATGAAACTAAGTACTATTAATAATAAGTATTATACTTAGCTCGAGGTAATACTCTATTAAGTTAGCGGCCGAGGAATAGGGCTTCTCCCGCGTTAAAAACATTATAGAAAATGTTATGAAAAATGTTGCTAAATCTCCCTATCGTTGAAGATCTAAACATCCATCCACAAACGAGCGAGTTATTATATCCGCATTGCAGAGAAGACGATAAGACGCAAGATTAGGAAACGTGCCAATGAATAACAGGAATTGTGGCCCAACTATTGCCGCTACTTTTTGGGCAAGAAGGAAGAAGGTGGGGCTGTTATCTATGATGATATATGACTGGTTCGTCCACGCGCTGTTTGGACGTGGCCATCATAACATCTTATGATTGCACAATTCCATCCATGACTTGCCCCATTGTGTACACCACCGTATCGTACAAGTGTTCGTTTCTTGCATGCTGGAACCTATAAGAGCATTCTGCTTGCTTGAAGTGGCGAGGGCGACTGACTGGTTGCAAGATCTGGGACAACACGAGGCATTATATATGATAGCTCTATAGCTGCAGGCCGAATTTTAACTTTCTGCGTCCCCGATGTTCAAACGCTTTGAGCGTTGGCACTAGGACGAGAAAGCTGCCCATCAAATGAGGTCTCCGATCAGCATGCACAAACATCTTTGTAATAATCATAAGCACCGAAGGCTCATCTAAATGCCACCCAACAGAGTGCATTTGAAACCAGGGCTCTCCCATGATCGAAGCCATTCGAATCAAATACGCTCTCAATGTCCCAGAAGGTCACGTAAAATCAATGTCATTCGTCCCTTGGTAGGCTCAAGTGATTATTCAGTATAGCTTTGCTAGGCTGTGTAGAAGAGCTGGACGAGATGATACGACGCAAAGGTCAAGGCTTCGAGTCTGCGTTGCAGCTGATTGTTTGCTCAGTCATATGTGGCATCGGGTAACGGGCTCGGGACAGCATCCAACGGCGCAGCATGGAGAGCCGGTTTAGCTTTCTTGCCCATCGTTCCGTTTCGTTTCCGCTCCATAGCACTTGAAACCCATTGCGCGACCTCCCTGTCGAAAGCGCCCGGGGCCACGGCCTCCTGAGCGACCTCCTCATCCACAAGGTCTTCATCTTCCTCCGAGATAGTTGGTGGTTTCAGAAGGGGTGCTAACCAAGGATGCTGCAAAAGAGTTGCATAATTCGGACGGAGTTTGGGTATCTTGTTTAGTGTTCTCCTGACGAAGTCCCTGGCGGCTTCCGAGAATTTATCAGTTGGCAGGTCGGGCGGCTCGCCATCCACAATAGCCTAGGCTTGTCAGATTGTTCTACTTCTCGGCGGCGAGGTCATCTAACTTACACTCAATTGACTGAAAATATTGTCATATGTCTCAGGTGGGTATGGATACTGTCCCAACGCGCATTCGATGATGGTCAAACCAAGACTCCAAATATCGCTTTGTACACTGTAAGTCCCCCCGCCTGGATTCGCGCCAGCTTGCGCGACACCTCCGCCTGAAATTCGTTCGGGCGCCATATAGCTTTGACAGCCAATGTTTGTCTTTGCAATGCTCGCAACCAGGTTTCCACTAACGCCGAAGTCACAGATCTTGACTTGGCCCCTGGTATTGACTAGAATATTAGTTGGTTTCACATCGCGGTGGATGATATTGTGGTCTTCCTTCAACGACTTGAGACCCATGACCGTAGACATTGTAATCTTCCGAAGAACGCCTTCTGGCACACCGTCTCCGTACAGCTTATCAATCGATCCGCCGTCCATGTATTCCATACATATATAGACAGCGCCTTCTTGGAAGAAGGCCCCGTAGAAATCCACAATAAATGGCGATATGCATCGATGCAGTATATCTAATTCCATGATAATGGCGGCAAACTTGGCCTCGTCTAGCTCCAACCGAATCTCCTTCATAGCCATCACGATACCTGTCGTATTGCCAGGAGTCGCCGATTTGGACAAGTTCCCATTGGACGTATCGTCATGCTTGTTTGCGATCATCGAACTCGCTGCCATCGACGGCAGAGGTCGATTGCCACTTAGACCTTGGCCTGGACGGCGCAGCTGAGGTCGGCTGTGGCGTACTCTGTAGACGGTCCCATAATTTCCTTTCCCTAGCTCTTCCAAGTTGTCGACCTCGTCCAGCGAGATGTTGAAGCTCGTGCCGCTTGAAAAGTCAATACCTTTGCCATGTATTGTAGCTTTGCCCTTGAATTTCAGAGTCCCAGTTTTGGTGTCCACATATTCCGAGTACTTGCTAAATAGCGAGTCACCACCAGAGCCTTGACCCGGGCCTTGGCATTTTCCCGTGGCGGCATCCGAGGCAGGCGCCGTGCCGGCAGGTCCCCCTAAAGGCAGTTGCGGTCCCGAGGCATCAGATAATTTCATCCCTTTGTTGAGACCTCGTTTTGCTGCCAAGCCACCCATTTTAGGATTCGTTTTCAGGCCAGGAACAGCGGGCGCCGAGTTGAAGTTGGGCGCTTGTGGTCGACCAGGGGGAAGTCTATGCCCCCCAGGTGCACCGATGAGTGGCCCACTGGGACTTGCGATACCAGAAGGTGCCATATTTCCGCCCATTGACCCACTTGGAATGGGTCCGGCAGATGTTGGTATTTGGGTCGTAGAGACGGACTGAGCTCCGACGTTTGGTGGCATGCGTGGATTCACGGGCGGAGGCGCGCCCTGTCTTGACAAATGGAAGGCCTTCATCTTCGCCTGCATGTCTTGAGGAAGCTGACTACCACGAGAGGAACCTAGGGCACTCTGGGGAAGGGTGGGCCTTCGAGCGGCGTTGAGAGTTCCCAGAGGGGTGGAGGAGGCGGTCATATTGGCGGCTGACCGGGTATCACTCGCATTGCGCAACGAAGGCAGACGTGGAGCTTGAGGGTTTGGAGAGGACTGTGCAAAGTCTTCCACTTGCGTTGCGGAATTTTCAGAAGGCAGTGAGCGGGAAGGAAGATTTGGTTCTGGAGGAATTGAGGAGCTCATGGCGGCAACGGAAGGGTTGAGTAGAGGATGAGAGAGATGAGAATCAATTAGGGCAACGGGCAATCAGGTCATAATATGAAAATGGATTATACTGAGTCGAAAAAGGAAGGTGATAGGCGTTGAGGATGTTTGTCAAGCATGGAGGTTAAGAAAGTCGATGTTATGAAAAATACTCTAGGAGGAGTATTGTTATTTAAGATGGGTTACTAATGGTAGTGGTGGTAGTAAACGAAGTGAATCGTGGCTGAAGCTCCGCTTGACTCCCGAGAGGCCGATGATGAAATTCAGTCTTGATCACAATTCTGTACTCTAATCTCTAATCTTATGCATCTTCTTTTCTTTTATCCTTTGCATCACCAACTTCACACCACAATGTAGAGAAAGCGCTCGTCTCGGCATGCGTCGATACTTGCGTAGGCTCCCGCAGGAGACTTTGGGTTAATCATAGGAATAATCACAAGGACCTGACTCCAAACCACTATGCCTGACTCTCTGCGCCTATATTCCCTGTATTCTACTTGTCTGCAAACATTGGAGAAGGACTGGAAGTGTTATCGTAGTAACCAGCCAGCTGTGCCTGGTTCTTGCCTGGTTCTTGAGATGCATTTTTGCTTTCCCAGCCTCAAGGGCGCTACGTACATCTAGACGGGACTACGAGTATTTTAGCGTGATGAGATTTTCGGATCATCTCTTTGCCCCATTCCCAGGCCACAACGATGGTGACGAATTCTGTCTCCCTTTTCTTTTGATACATCCATTGCATGCAGATAAATATTCGCTCTTCAGCTTTCTCTCTAGATCACCCTTCAACCCAGGTTCCTTCAAATATTCTGCCTGTTATGATAACCTCCAGATCCTGTACGTGAGGTGTGAGCCGTTGTTTCTTCTTCCGAGTTGGAAAGAGCAAGCGCGGCAGTAAACTCTCTCAAGTCTGTGTGATAGCCAAATCGTCATACCATGCCTTTCTTCACCTCCCCCAATGCCTTCCACAATGCCAATTTCATGGCAACCTCGTTCTCGAATCTCAACATCCCCGCGGTCCCCGGCATGCCGTCTCAGCCCGCAATGAACCAAGCCCAGTTGTCTTCTGGAATGGCAACTCCACTTCCTCCGCACTCCTCACATCCCGCGCTACCTCGTCTCACTATGCTTGTCTTCGAAGCGGTCTTGGAGGTGGTTTGTGTCAGCTTGCCCGGCTATATTATAGCCCGCCAGGGCATGTTCACGGCAGAGATGCAGAAGTTTGCTGCCAACCTCAACGTCACCGTCTTTACCCCATGCCTCAGTATGCGTCAGCTCCCCGCTGTGCCATCCAGGTCTAACTGTTGTTATAGTCTTCACCAAGCTAGCCTCCCAACTTACAACAGACAAACTTGCGGACCTTGCCATTATTCCCCTCATTTTTATAGTTCAAACACTCATTTCATACCTCTGTTCCATCGCTGTATCAAAGGCGTTTGGTTTTTCGAAGAGGCCTCGCAACTTTGTGATCGCCATGGGGGTACTTCATCCGGCTCTTCGTCTACGTCAATGTTGCTAAGCGCGTGTTAGGTCTTTGGCAATTCCAATTCGCTGCCAATTTCCTTGGTCTTATCGCTCTCACAGACTATTAAGGGACTACATTGGAACAATGTGCCTGGGGACAACGATGACGAAGTTGCGGCCCGCGGCATACTGTACTTGTTGATCTTTCAACAGCTTGGACAATTAGTCAGATGGAGCTGGGGCTACAACGTCCTGCTTGCGCCAGCGGAGAAGGTCAAGGGTACTGCTGAGAACGCCAACTCGCGCCTTGAGACGGGGGAGGCAGAATTGGGGGAAAGCGAGCCTCTCATGAGGGGATCATCGACTGATGGAGAAGGAGATGAGCAGGACGTCAGCGGCTCTGATGATACCAGGGTCGAAAGCCGAAAGGCTGGCATGGGAAATGCAAGCGGCTCCCAATACGGATCCGAATTCAGGTCAGGACAGCAGACGCCGGAGACGCATCGGCAACATACCTCTTCATTCTCCACAGCATGCTCGAGTGGCGGTCTAAGCAAGTCTGGACCAGACCCTGACCTTTTGCCAACCCCAGCCAACGGTAACATAAAACCTGCAGGACGGATGATGTCTTTCCCTTCAGAATGGTCAAAAGCTGATCCGATCGACGGAGATGTCCCACAAGGTCTGAAAGGGATTCCAATGCGATGTCGAACGGCAATGAAGAAAGCCACTTGTACATTTTCTCGTTTCATTTCAAAGACCTCCGGGTCAGCTTTCGGGGCCTTGCCAGGTCCATTGCAAAGGGGCACGACCAAGATTGCAACCGCGGTTGGAAGATTCTTGCTCGGAGTCTGGTCGTTCATGAACCCACCTCTATGGGCTATGCTGGTAGCAATCGTTGTGGCCTCCATTCCGGATCTACAAAGATTCTTCTTTGCGAACGGCACCTTTTTTAAGAATTCTGTGACAAGTGCCATACGGCAAAGTGGAGGAGTAGCCGTCCCATTGATCTTGGTCGTGCTTGGCGGAAATCTAGCGCGCAATACACTCCCAGCAGATCCAAGCCATACTAGAGAAGATGAGAAAGAAGAGACGAAGCTTCTCATCGCCTCCATTATCAGCCGCATGCTGCTACCATTCATCATCATGGCTCCTCTACTGGCGGTGACCGCAAAGTACGTACCCGTCAGCATACTGGATGACCCAATATTCGTGATTGTTTGCTTTTTGATCACCGGAGCGCCCAGCGCACTGCAATTGGCGCAGATCTGCCAGATCAACAATGTCTACATGGGGGCAATGTCAAGGCTTTTATTCCAGAGCTACGTGGTTTGGATTCTGCCATCGACTCTGGTGCTAGTGATGTGTGCATTGGAGGTTGTCGAATGGGCACAACGATAACGCGCATAATTGTGATAGTGTGCGTTCATATTTGCTTCTGTGGGTATTAGCTTTGGCGCTGGATTGGTTGTCGGCGGCCATTGACTTGTTGCATACGGATGCGCAGAAACCAACGCTGGGTCATGGAGAGCAACGGCGGGCGATGTGGCTTTGCTGAAAGCTGAGCGAGATACCATTGAGAAGCCCAGCAAAAGTGGGGGTACGAATGGAATGGCCGGATATTCTGCGATCGAAAATAGACAAAAGTACATCATTTCCAAACGGATGAGGCAGTGGAACGAGCATGTATTTGAAAATTAGCAGGGTCTCGAGGCTCTTTCGACTCTCTACCTACTTTATCCTTCTCGTCTCAAAAGAGCACTTTAACTCCTTTGACACGCTAGTGGTGGGAGAACGCGTTCCTACCATCACTACCAGCCACCGCAACCACCAACGCAGGCTCCAATCCCTTAAATTATCGGCCGCAAGGTGCAATCACTATACTCCGTACGGAGTACAACATCGACACCATGTCGACCACAAAACGCTCCTTCAAGCGTCCCTTCCAGCCTAGCATCAGCTCGTATTTTGGCCACCCTACCCGCGACAGTGCCCCAACACCCGGCACCCAAGTGCACACACCAAGCTTTGCCCTCCCCAACACCATACAATCCTCTTTGCTGAACGTTGGAATGCGTGTTCGAAAATCCGTTCCGGAGGGATATCAGACGCAGCGGAAGTTATCTTGCGGCGTTCCCAGTGCCTATAATAATCTTACGCCGGAGCGCAACAGCGTCACCCCATCGCGCGGCTTCACCGGCCTGGTGCCATATTGCGGGATCCTCAAGATCGGTGGTCACAATACGCAGCCAGCCCCCTCCGAAGAAGATCTCCCGCCCTTGCAGTTTGATAGCGATGACTGGGGGTTTCTGTCAAGTCAAGAATCGAAAGCATCCTCCGATTCCCTTCGACCCATAGTCACTGTGCCCGTGGTGAGCAACCACAAACGCCGTCGCGAGGACGAAGATGACGAGCTGGATGTGGAATCGCAGCCCGTCTCTCCTCGTCCCTACCCCCCATTCAGCCATACACGAATGCCAAACTTGGATCAATTGAGGCCCATCGCAGTGCCCAAGACGAGGAAGAAGCCCGTACTCGAATTATTTGAGCTGAAGGAGAGCGAGATGATTGACGTGGGAGGTTTTGGAGAGGCCGAATTCTTCCGGCCAGACGAATGGGAAAATGATTGGGGTCATGCGAAGGAGACGTGAGAGAGAAGATCGTGGGAGAGCGAGAGTCTTTGAATGCTGTAAGAATTGAGGCGCAATGATACCCGGATAGAGTCCCTGTGAAACGCTGTTGTGCGTGTTCATGTTGATTTCTCACCCGCTTGAGGCCTTAGCAATTGGCTAGCGGCCTTCTTCATGGCAATGTCGTATCGTGTATAAAGCCAATAACGGGTCGCGACAGCCGCTGTTAATGAGCCAGACAGATAACAGATACACGAGGAGAGTGGAAGAGATTTGATCTGTGTAAAAGATGCCTGGCAAGCTGCTTAGGACAGGTGACACTCATATTTGTACAATGTTTAATTAAGGGACCATCCCAAGACGATTTAACGTGTCGCTGAGATGGTCCTTACCGATTACTCTGGACACTTATTCAAAGGAAGTCCCGGTGCTCACTTCCTGGTAGGTGCTTTTTACTGCAGCATTGGATCGAGACTCTCCCCTAGTATCCCTTCGATCCCCACTACCCACCTCTGTACCTCTTTCTCCACCGCCTCATCATCATCCTCCAATGCCTCACTGATGAAAGGTAGCATCTCTGGCAGTAATGCTAGCCACTCCTCTCCTAGCCTCTCCGTCAAGGCTCGCTCACTCTGAATAGCGGCTAAACGGACCGCTGCTCTATCCGACCTCATGCATTTCAATATAGTAGCGTTCATCTCCTTATGGTGGGTGGCGGAATCCGTGGCGATCGCCAGCTCAGTGATCGCAGGAATCAGCTCAAGGACAAGGGGAGCTTTTTGGGCGTTGTCAAGCTGGCCCAGGAGCGCGGCCGAAATCGATGCGAAATGGGAGGGGGTTTGGTAGAAACCTGGACGGTCAGCTTTCAGTATATGCGAACGCAGAGAAAGAATTTTACCGTCTTGGTCGTGCTCGAAGGTGCTTTGGAGAGTAAGTATGACCTGTCGCCATAGAAGTAATGAGTCTTCGTCATTCAGGGAGATATCCTTAAGTATCTCTACGGCGTCGTCTATGATGAAAGCTGCGTAGCTGGTGACGATGGACTTGAGTATCATGATCAGCAACCGCTGTCTCGAGTCGTATTCCGCGAACATACCTTGAGAGTGCCAAAGAACTTGAGAAGGAAAGTGTACCAGCTTGTCTGCCTATGAATCATAGCTTTCATGTCTTTCTTTGATGTTGGACAGGTGGTCCATTCTAGCATTCGCGAAAACATAGGTCTAAACGTTGCGTCATTGAGTTTGTAGACCATAGAGATTGCGGTTTCGTTGACGGCGTCTTCGACTACTTGAATCTCCCCCATGTCATAACTACAGCCAGTAAGTGGTGACAGCTGGATTCTCCGTAAGTCAAAAATTCTTAGAAACAAGCCACCCAACGTCTCTGAGTGCTGAACAATCATCGATTTGGGCTGACGGTCGATTGTGAGACGCAAGATTTCAAGATGCTCCTTAACAGCCTGCCTCAAATTTAGTATACGAAGCCAAATTCAAGAGCCCTCTTCTGGACTTACCAGCGGTCCCTCAGTCATTGCAATCGTAAAAGTTCTATCCAAAGCAGCCAAGCAGTCCTTCGCTTCCAACTTTTTAGACATGAGTCGTAAAGCCTCAATGCGACTTTGATTACACTCTTCACTCATTCCAGCGTTAGCTGACTCAAATGATAGCTTCAGCACAGAGTCCATATCGGCGCTTGTAACCATCCATGGCACGTAAATGATGAGAGCGCCAAAAAATGAGTAGACTGCGTTGTGCAGGGCACCATCTTCTGTATCTTCGCCAATGCTGGTCGCCAAGCTGTCCATTGCCTTAGGAAGAGCGAGCGGTACGATCGAAATAAAGCTATCGCTTGACACTTCGACAATTGTCGCGAGACACAAGATAGAGATAGTTCGGAGACTGCTTTCGCTTGCCCTCAGGCATTCGTCTCCGGCAACGATTCTGGCACTGGCAACGATCGCAGCGACGTCCTTCTTGCCGAACATTTCCGCGATACCATCTATACAAACAACAGCTGTGTGTTTTAGAGACACGTCTGCAGACTCCCTAATGATGGACGCGAGATGAGGGAGGAACGCGAGACACGCGGCCTGCGATGCTTTCAAGTCGAGCTTTTTGTCCTTGAGACGATCTCCGAATGATCGAAGTACCTGTTGGCGGATCTGAAGCGGGTAAGCTATAAGGTCTCAATTACTAGACACATCTACTGACGTTGTTCTCTGTTCGTGCAAGCAAAATTTGAATGCTTTCGATCAATTCCGATATAGGTAGTAATCTTAGGGATGCATCTAAAAGTTGCATACATAGTACATTCACTATGCTATCGTCAGTATTGATAATGTTTGAGTGTATCGCCTGGGCCACCAACATGTCTTGTTCCCTCTGTAATGCTCCAAAAGAGTGAACGTGTCTTCGAGGATATTTGTAAACAGAGCGCGGATCTTTGCAGCATCCTCGCCGCCGTCGCGTAGTCTTCTGGACGCCTTGGAGATCAGGTTCGCATCGCCGAGGATTGCAGGAGTCAATGGAAGTAAATTTGAAGCAGCTCTGTCAACGTCATCGAGCTGCAGTAAAGACTTGGAAAAGGTTGGCTTTGGTTTCCGAGCATCTACAATTAAGCCCAAAAATTGTTTCACCATCTGCAAGACATCAGAGCCATCTACATGCAGCTTTTGGAGGATCTTTACCTGGAGGCGCGTCTTCACGCTGTAGCGGCTGGTAAGATCAGTGGCGAACTGTACTACACTTCTATCGCTCGGGTACTTGTCCAACAAGATTGCGGTCAAAGCGAAAAGATAGTCGCTAGCACCAACTTTGTTCACTAGTGATACAAAAAGATCGAGCCGTCGCTGGGCTGGTATATGCTCGTAGGCAGCGGCAAAACTCAGTAAAAGCTCGGAGACACCCACAAGTGGGCCATATTTTCGTTTGTGTAGTGACTGTACCAGAGATGGGATAACTGATTCCATGGTCTGCACCTTCGTCAGCTCCGAGTTCAATAATACATCATGGTCCCAACACGCTCACCTGCTTTACCACATATGCCGAGAAATCATCATCCTGACGCAGGACGTTGGCACCCATGAATGTAAAAATAGGCATAATGCTGTGCAAAATCAATTCTGGGTTAAACTTTGCGAGAGCTGACACTAGCAGTAAAGCAGAATTGCGCACTTGAGAATTTGTGGTAGTCCTGATGCAGTCAATGAGAACGTCGGATCGAACCGATGCATGGTCAATCTGCAAGCCTGTTGGGGCCTGCCGCAAGTCAGCGTCCCTAGTAGACTTCCTTTGAAGCGTGGCATTACCGAATACGTACCTCGGCTCTTTTTACGATGGCAAGCATGCCTTCAATAGCCAGCACTTGAAGATAGCCTGTGGCTGTTGCTGGATGGCTTCGAGACTGTTGTAAGTCACACATGATCTTGGAGAGACCTCCTAAGAGTTCAGGATGGCGTTCAGTTTTGGCATCTCCTACTAACTCAAGGACAAATGTAATTTGCCGGATGGCAGATGCGAGATTGCGTTCATCGAGGGCGCCAGCATCATTCGAATGGCCGTGACTTGTCCGCTTGCGCTTCAACACTGGGGCCCCGTCCTGTAAAGCAGGCAGAATCGAAGGCACATTCTCTACGAAGGATCGGAGTGTAGCAGTAGAAAGTGGCAATGTCCGTAACGTTTCCATAGACTCAGCCTCTTGGTTGCCATTTGCCCCAGCTTCTACATTGCCAACAGCTGACTCAAACAAAGCTTTTGCCAACGAGGATTGGAGATCGATTTTGATGAATTCCCAAGTGATCTGTAGGCGGCGCAATGCTGCGGCTCTTAGACTTGGGAAGTTTAGGTTATTCAGAGGCTCGATGATAGACTTCAAGGTTTGAATACCATCACGATCGCCTGGTATAACGATGCTGACCAGTCTGTCCAGTAGCTGCGATGATACAAGCTGCTCCTCGTCGCAGATACGTTCAAAATCGTGTTGACCTTGTTTCAAAGTGTTTAATAGCAAAGGAAGCAATAACTTCGTACGGGAAGTGCTGCCCACCTTGGGCACCTGATTTAGCATCTGAAGTAGGCGAGATTTGACGGCGTATAGCGGTGTATTGACAACATGACTACAGATACTGCTGAGCAAAGCTAGTCGTAGAGGCTTCTTCAATTCCCTTTGCGTAATGTTGGAACCTTTGCTGTGCTTTGGGCCGTTGAGGTTATCTGAAAGGAGCTGAGATACGTGGCTTTCATCAAGCATGCATTCTTCGAGATTTGGAACCATTAGGTCCAAGATGCTGTCGGTCTCTTTATTAGAAAGCCATGTCACTGCTTGAGTCTCACCGCCCTGACCATAAATTTGCTGCTGGCCCAATATTGGTCGATTGGTACTTTTATTTTCCTTGTCAGCCGTTTTCTTATAAGCAGGCGCTAGGACCAAGACAAGTTCTGCGGCTGCGCGGCGAACGCTGGGAGACGTATCAGCCAGCGCGTACAGTATGTACGGCAATAACATCTGCACATCAGCTGTAAGAGTTTCCTTCCTGAGGTATTCCACCACAGTCCGGATCGCTGCTGTTCTCGCTGTTGCTGAGCAATGGCCGCACCATATTCGGACAAAGAATGAAAGGAAAAGAGGCTCAGTCATTCCTAGGGACTTCCGAAGGACCGGTAGATTAGAAAATCTTTCTAGGTTCATTGTAGAAGTGTAGATCGAGAGAAAAGCGTGAGCCAGGCTGCCATAGACGTAGGAGTCTGAGTGTGACAGAAAAGATATCTCATAGGCTGTCCGTGTTGGGATTCGGCTCATTACAGTCTCGAAGTCGCCTGTCGTCATTTGTCTTTCTGCATTCTCCATGTCCACATCTTCAGTAAGCTGCTCAGGTGTGCTCTCTTTGCTATAATTTACCCGTCGGAGTCTGTTTTCCAGATATTTCAAGTCAAAGTTTGACTCTTCCATGGTGCTGTGTATGACAGCCCCAACATCTTTCGAATCGCACATAAGAAGAACAAGGTCTGCCAACGACCCTTGCACATCGAACTTTGGATTCGGATTTGGCGCCGTCGTCTGAGCTTCATAGATTACTGATTTGACCACAGCCTTGATGGAAGCATCACTCATAACATTGGCTTCCATCAAGGTTCTCAAAAGCCGCAGCCCGCTTGTGTCTCGAGCTTTTCTAAGTCTTGAAATAATACCAAGCGCGACACCTAGAACAAGCTTGTCAATCTTGTACTGCTTATTGAGTGTCAAAAGGTCGTCATCAAGGCGTTCGAGCGCGATGACCGCTTCGAAGGTTTTGCCTGGTAGACCGGCTGTTCGCTTTTGCTCAGCCAAAACACCCAAGCATATCAGTCCTGCATGGGAAGTCTGGGACCAGTCGGACGTGATCGCTTCCATCATTACAGATAGTACACCATCATCTAGGCTAGCTTTGGAGGCTAAGATCGTTAGAATCATGTAGCATCCCATCCGAAGGTCCGGCACATTATCAACAGAGAGACCATCGTTAAGGACAGGTAACAAGAAACGAACGATGTCTTCTTGGTTTTGCTTCTGTGCCTCGCGTCTAGCGGAGCGACCCTGGTCAAGCATCGCAGCCACAGCTTCAGTAGCAACTGACGCCCAGAATGATACCAAGGTGGGATTTTGGAAACCTAAGTGACCGGAATCAAGTACGAAAGCACTCATAGCGGTGAAGAATTGGCGGTTGGTGGATGCAGCATGTACGATTGCGTGACGCGGTGGCTTTGCAAGGGCTTGAACGTAGGGGTGGAGAAACCTGAGAGTGGGTGATAAATCTTCGGGTATGAGTGAGAGCATCGTAGGGAATACCGGAGCGTTGTGGAATGGCAGAAAGGCGAGTACCAGGCACATAGTGTTATTTTGGTGAACCCTAGTTAGAAAGTTCGTCAGGTCGAAGAAGTTGAGGCAGACAAAAGGCGGCCCGTGACTGACCTGAATCGCCTGACGAGCCATTCCACCGCTTTAAGAGCCGGTTTCAATAGCAGCTTACTCCCGACTAGATGTAAGAACTCCTCAAGGACAACATCAAGCTGTTGGTTTTGGGCAGCAGTCATCTGCGTTCGCTCTTCCTGCTTGCTCTGTTCGCTGAAAAGATTATTGGCAAAGCCGGCGAACCTCGAGTCCAAAAGGCAGAGTTCCTGGAAGCCCTCGTAGCATATCTGGTACAACGAATCGAAGTCCTGGGTTGCGGCGACACCAGGTTCGTAGAGAAGGGACCGCGAATGTGCTTTCTTTTGAGCTTTGAGGTCGAGTGGATTGGTAGACTTGGCGCGAATCTGGGCCAGCTGTGAGGCCAGCGCTGTAGCCATGATATTGATGACTAGTCCGTATTCTCTACCGATGACATTCAAACGACTCTGGGGCTCCCATACATTTCGTCGATCAACCGAACGAAAAAAAAAGAGCCGAGGGAGACTTATGAATATACATGCAGCGCGGGTTTACCGAGGGCCCGGGCCGGGCCTGGTCCCAGGCTCACGTTCCACGCTCAATAATTGGCCAACGGCTGATACGTTCGTTCTATTTTACGATTACTCTCCAAAGCGAAATCCCGAGCGAGAAAGGGAGACATTGGGTACATATGCTATTGCTTCCTTTCTCCTAGCAATCTAAGCTTTCAAAGAGGTGAAGGCGCCACAAGTACGTCAGTATGCCAACTGAATCCATCAGCTCTCGTCAAAACCCTGACGGTAAACACGCGGAAAAGACAGCGACTCCCAGATTTGCAAGCTTCAAGCCAAATCCACCGTCGAGAATCCAGGACCAAGAGACTAGGACTTCGGGAAACGTGAATCGGCTTCCCGAAAACCATGACCACGCTCCGGACGAGTCTGTTTCGAGGTTGAAATCTGGTAGGCAAACCCTAGGCCGACATCATCCTCGGGGTCACCATCAACGTAGCGTTGACAGGGAAGCGAACCGTCATATCGGATCACAGCCTGCAGGACACGATCCCGGGCCGGGTGAAAACATACCACAGTCGTTCGTAGTTGACCGAGTAGGCGATCTCGACAATCTCAACTTCGGCGCCCTCCATAGATATGCAACGGCGTCATATTTCCGTTTCGGTGCCGGAAATGTTATGGGATCACCCATGAATCAGAGGATCGATCGAGCACTGAGTACTGACAAAGCATTGGTGCTGTCCGACGACACATATGGATTGCCGAAGAAAAGAGACAAACATGCACGTTGGAGGCTTGATCAGGAGGGAGCAAGAGAGTTAAAGATCAAGCCACGAGAGGAACACGACCCAGCCATTGACTCTGCCGCCGACTATGTTTCCTTCGAGGCTGCACATAGAGCGAAGAGAAGGCGAGGAGATGACGGATTGCCTGTGGATTGCGCGTCGTCTTCAGATCAAAATGATACGCAATATAGCTCTTTAAAGGGCAAGGCCAGATACAAGAAAGAGCCTGCTGATCAAGACTTGAAGTACAACAGCGACACACCGTCTTCACAAGACACCGCGGGCAGCCGTCTTCTTGTATTGGACGAACCAGCTCAAAGGAAACGAGTCCAGTTGTCTAGGAGGACGGATGCAGAGCCAACCAACTTTGAGGCTTGGATTGATCTGATCAATTACCAAGACAACCTGCTTGGCCTAGGTCAGAATTCTAAAAGAACGAGTCTGACCAACGCTGAAAGACGTAGCAATGCTGAGATCAAATGTTCTATTTTTGAAAAGGCTCTAGAGAAGGTCAAAGATTCGGAGGGCCGTGAGGTCTTGTTGCTTGGCATGATGCAGGAGGCTGCTGAGATTTGGAGAACTGAAAACATTTCATCCCGCTGGAAAAGTATACTTCAGCAGAATCCCCAAAGTTTGCGATTGTGGACCAAATATCTCGATTTCATACAGAGGAGCTTCACCAGTTTCAGGTTTGAGGAAGTAAAGAGCGTCTACTTGGATTGCTTGAACCTAACCCAGAGGGCAAGAACCACTGGCGAGATAACTCTTGACGAGCAAAACAAAGTTTTTGACATCCAAATCTATGTCGTACTTCGCATGACTCTGTTCATGAGAGAAAGTGGTTTCGCAGAGCATGCTACGGCAGCATGGCAAGCTTTGCTGGAATTCGTTTTCTTTAAACCTAACTTTTTCCAGACTAGCGACCATAATAAGGATCGGTCTTCTCATGAAGCCACTGTATCCATGTTTGAAGAATTCTGGGATAGCGAAGTCCCACGGATTGGTGAGGAGGGCGCTGAAGGTTGGGCAAGCTTCTCCCAAAAGCAAGGGGAGCCGCCGCAGCCAAGAAACGAAAGGGCAGATGACCTCGAAGACAGCAAGGATCATTGGAAGTCGTGGCTTGCTTTGGAGAAAAGTCGTAGTTTGCTGTCCCGAAACCCTGTCCGTACTATTGATGATATAGAGGAGAACGATCCCTATAGGATTATTCTGTTTTCGGATATTCGGCCTTTCCTCATTGATCCGCCGTCACTTGCATGTCAGCAACTGATCTTAGACGCTTTCACTGCGTTCTGTTGTCTTCCACCTTTTGCTGCGGAAGGCCCTGATAGTCATTCGAGGGTCTGGGGAAGAGACTGTTTTCTCCGTAATGATGCTCTACGGTTGAATAGCAAGCTCCAGGACTCATGGAAGTTGCGTTTCCCAAAACAACATGGAGGCTCAGAGGAACAAAATAGCATTGATGAGGAGGATGCTCGGTTGCATTCGGGCACGCGAGATCCCTTTCAGTTCCCTGTCCGAGACTATCAGGTCTCGTCGGACTCCCTATTTGCCGAAAGGCAGTGGTTTTCCGCCTTTGATACATGGCAGGAGCAATGTTTTGGAGATGGTGGCCCAGTAGAGGTGGCATGGACATTTCGATCACTCAAGTCGCTCATGAGTGTAGATGCAGGGAAAGAAGCCGTTGCGTTATATGTCCTCGCCTTAGAGCTAAGGACCTCACCAGGAACAGTAAGAAAAACTGCGAAGAACATATTGAGGAAACGACCGTTTAGCATCTGCATCTACAATGCGTATGCGCTCATTGAGTATCGCCTGGCCGGTACCCAGAAAGGTGAAGGTATCATCACTACGTCACTTAATATGGGCAAGAAACTCGACGAGGTCTCCCAAAGAGATTCCATACTGCTGTGGCGCACCTGGATATGGGAGACGCTAAGTGCAAAATCGGCGCAAGAAGCTTTGGTGCGGCTTTTGGCTATTGGAGACGAAGAGATCCAGATGCCTTTTCCGGAACTGCATCCGCTAGATGACTTGGGTTTAGCAAAGCCGGCTCTGCTGCTTCGAACAGAAAGGGTAGAACTATCGCCGTCGAATAGTGGATCATGCTAACACGTCATAGGCTCTCATTGCCATTCGCGATCATATGTTATCGTTGAGCTCATACACTCATGCAGCCTTTGCCATCGAATGCCTGATCCTGTTCGCATATCTGAGAAACGCCCAATCCTTAACCGCAGCGACTTCGGCCTTCAAGTCAAACATCGCTCTTCTCTCCACCCATGTTTCTTCGAAATCTTCGAACCACGAGCACCTCCACCAATCCTTTGCCCGACTCCTTTATTATCATGCCACTCATACTCATCTCTTCAAGCCATCGGATATTCGCTCACTCCTTACGGAAAACATAGCTCAATTCCCGCAGAATACCATCTTTCTCTCCCTCTACGCTTGGAACGAAGCTCGTTTTCGCATCGACGATCGAGTACGCTCTGTTGTTAAGGAGCTTGTCCTCGGTGGTAGCGGTAACACAAAGAATAAAGTCCAAGACAGTGTGGTGCCACACTTCTTCGCCATATACTCGGAATTGCACCGAGGTGTTACGTTCGGCAGCAATATTTCCACCATCCGCAGTACCTTCGAACGTGCTGTCGAGAGCGATAGCGGTACACACTGCGCGGGCTTATGGAAATTGTATTTTCTATTTGAACACTCGAGATCTGAGGCTGAGAGAGCGAAAAAGGTATTCTGGCGAGGCCTGAGGGCTTGCCCTTGGGTCAAAGATTTGTATATGCTTGCCTTTGAGCATCTGAAAGGCGAGAAGGTGATGGGTGAGGCAGATTTGAGAGGCATATATGAGCTTTTGGGCGAAAAAGAGCTGAGGGTGCATGTAGGACTCGAAGGCATCTTTGAAGGCTTAGACGAGAGACAGCCAGACCAGAGAGGGTGAGGAGATGCTCTCAGCAGAGAGGACTTCATATCAATGCGGTAAACTTTGGATGCAAAGCCATCCACCGTAGCCACTTATAAGTGAGTACGTCCTATATGTTCTAGGGAAGCCCGTTGCCATAGGCTGTTCGACCTTCTATAATGCCAAAATCCCAAGCAGAAGAATATGCCATCTAGTGTTCGCTCCTAAGCGCCATCTAAAGCAGCGCTATGCCAAAGCCAACTCTAACCCATAACCCCTCGTACGCTTCAGCCAGAGGTCTTAGCAAAGACAAACGATACCCTGTTGCCCTCATCTTTCAACACATCGAGCAACACCTTGTCATGAACCAAAGCCTCCATACCGTCATCATCTTCCTTTGAGAAATTTGAAGTATCAACGTGTGAGTAAGCCATCAGCAAATCCATCTTCGCACCATCCTTCTGATTTCGGGAAGAACGCGCATCTTCTTTGATCTTTCGCTCTTGCTCTTCCATGTCAAGGTTGTTTGCCTGAATGAGCCGAGGTAGATCCGGCATTTCCTCCTCCCTCACCTCATCATCGCTGTCCAAGATCTCTGTCAGCTCTTCGTCGACGGGGAAAGGGGCCGGTAGACCTCGCCCCTCGCAGCAACAGCCGAGCAGATCATGAGTCTGACAGGACAACCCTTCGTCGAGTCTGAAAAGGTCCTCGAGTTCTTCCTTTGTGAAATTACTAGTCCCTCCCTTCTGGTCCATGATGTTGTTAGCGAGGCCCAATTTCGTCGTCTGCCTCTGCCAGATCTTCTCGTCCAATCCTCCAGCCATGACAAAGCGATAGATGACACAAGGCCTCTTCTGTCCGTCGCGATGGATCCTTGCCATTGCCTGGAGATCTGTGGCAGGGTTCCAGTCTACGTCGAAAAGAACGAGGCGGGAGGCGCCGATCAAATTGAGGCCAACCCCACCAGATTTGGCGGACAGGAGGAAGGCAAAACACTCGGAGGCTGACGAGCGGTTGAAAGCGTCTACAAGTTCTTGGCGTTTGGAGGATGGGGTGGAGCCATCAAGGCGGAGGTAATGATAGGAGAGTGAGGTGAGAAGTGTTTGCAGAAGGTCGAGGGTTGCGGTGTAGTTGGAGACGAGAACGATTTTTTCTCGGGTAGTAGTCCGAAGGTTGTGCATAAGTTGATCAAGGACCCGTAGTTTGGTACTACCAGCGTTGGTGCGAAGTAGATGAGGGGGAACACTGGCCAGAAGTCCGGCTGTCAAGGGGCTCACCGCCACCGAAGGATCTGAAAGAGTTTTGCCATTGAGCAACGACGGGCTGTTGCAAACCTTCTTGAGGACAGTGATGAGCTGAAGTGAGGCCTCTGGGCTTCCCAACAACCTCTGGAATGCCGGGCAAGCGAGGACATGGTGGTAGGTGGACACCTGAGCCGCGGTTGGGCGGCATAAAAGGACGTACTCCGTCTTTGACGGTAGGTATCTCGAGAGTATATCAGCAGTCCGGCGAAGTATGAACATGCTGGTCAGTAAGGCTAATTCTTCGCTTCTTGCTTCGCCTTTCTCAACATCTTTCCTCAAAGCGCCAGGCTGTCTGCTTTTCACGATCGGAAATTCAAATTCTTTGGTAAACGTTTTGAATGATCCCAGTAGGTCCGGGTTAACAAAGTCGACCATCATGAAGAATTCGCTCAGATCATTCTGGATAGGAGTCCCAGATAGGATAACTCTCTTTGAGGTGTTCAGAGATTTGATGGCTTGTGCGCTCTTGTTCTTGGCTGTTTTCAGACGATGGCCCTCGTCAGCGATCACAATATCGATTCCATGGCCCTTCTTCAGATCCTCGACCACAGTCCTTAGCTTTTCATACCCAATGATCCCAACGGGATAAGCTTTGCTTGTAGTAAAGCCTGTGATATGCTTCTTGCTACCGTCAAAGACGTAAACACCAAGTCTGTCAACCCCAAGCCATTTGCGAAATTCCTTGCGCCAATTGTTTATCAGAGTAACGGGACATACTATCAGAGCCTTTTTGATGACAGGCGGCGGATTGTGAGAACCCTCGCAGATAGGGTTCTGCTTCAGCAACGTCCATAACAACGCGATAGTCGACAGACTTTTGCCTAAGCCCATCTCGTCTGCTAGGATTGCACCTTGGCCATCAAAGTCACGCATGCCCATCACACACTCGTACATGAATTTGACTCCTTCACGTTGATGTTCCCGTAGGTGTTTCGCAAGAAGTGGATCGACCACAACATCCACGACCTGTTTTCCTTTCGGCACGGTTTTGGGACGCTTCATGACTATTGCTTGTGCGGCGGTTGGATCATGGCGCGGTGTTGGCTCGTTGGGTTCCTGCTTAGGCATTACAGTGCTTACTAGTAATGGATTCTTGAACATTGCTTGGGTAGCTACACTTCTCGGCGCAGCCAGATTGAGTGGCTTCTTCGTTTCCTCGCTCTGCTGTAGGAGAGCCGCCTTCGAGTCTGGCCTCGGCTTTGGGTTTGGTAGGGGTACTTGTACAAACTCTGGTGTAAACTTCACGATGCTTGACTTCAGGAATGGTCGACCGGCCAAGGAATCCTCTCTTGAGAGGATGGAATCGACTTCTACCTCCTTTCCCCCTATCGATAGCTGGGAGCCAGGAAGCAGAGGCCAATCGCAAGATGCTTTTCCCATATCACGTCCTGAAGTGTCCTGGAGATGGGCATGCCCGCCAGTGACTTTTAGCACCCCATCACCATCCCAAGTCTTGTGCTTCTTGGTCGTATACTTCCGCCTGTACGGAGAACGCCGTTAGCGATCAGTGAGTTCATCATGAAGATGTACGTACCAAAGAACATTGTAGTATACCTCGGACCCTCCGTCGAGTGACTCTGTGGCTACTGCGGGGTTTTTGACTGCTAAAAGTGGCTTGCGTGGAAATGAAGATATTCCAGGGGTTTTGAAAACCAATTGAGGCCCCATCGTCTTTACCCCGTCCCCTTTGTCGCTGCTGATCCGCCTCTTTTTTGCTTGGGGCTCGGAGCCTCCGTCATTGTCCCCAGACTCCTCGGTCTTTCTGAGCAATGGGATTCGGAATGGTTTTCCGACCATTGTAGAGGCTTTGGTCATGACTCTGCGTCACGTCCATGTAGTGATGTGGAAAAGACACAAGTTCGGAGTGAAACGCGGACGCGTTATGCCCTAATGCGAAGTCACATGATCAGCCCTCCCTAAAGTAGAGACGCATGGTGTATGGGAAACTAAAAAAAATCTGCGAATTTGGCACCCCCTTATAATCAAAAATCAAAAATTTGAATTTTTCTATATAATCTCACCACTACTTGTTTTTACAGTCTAAAAATTTTACGATATCTACTTATTATATTAAGTAATCTATCTTTAAATTTTTTAAAAAATTTGAATTTTAATCTTATAAGTGAAATATAAAAAGTATAAAAAGTGAGAATATATCGTGAACTTGAAAAATCTACCTCGGCTATTTTTTTATTACTAAGACTATTTTAAAAAATCTAAGAATTTATTAAATCTTTATTCTATAATAAAATAAATAATTAGAGAAAGTAATATACGTATATCTTCTTTTTATATATATATACTCTCTTTTAATATATAATATATATCTCTTTAAATTCGATTAGCTTTCGCGTAGCCGCTAGTCGTATAAGGTATAAATCTCGTATATAGTCGAAGTAGAGTTAAAAGAGATAGAGCTATATGAGGCGAATAGCGAGATAGTCAATAGCGAGGTAAATATAATACGTTAGCCTATATATAGAATAACGAGATTATATTTAATACTTTTTAGCTATAGAAAGGCTAGGTAATTAATAGATAGTAAATATACGAGTATAATAGACGTATTTCTAATAGTAACGAGAGAGGATAGTTAGTTAATCAGCTATCGCCATAGAAGAATAATTTAAAGATCTTATTATTCGACGATTTGAAATCGTCTAATCTTTTAAACTTTATTAGAAGAGATTTAAGAAGACTTATCTTACTATTACTACGAAGATCGATATTAAAAGTTCTAGATATATTAAGATAAGAGTTTAGATAGAGCTAAGTACTTAATATACTTTTAAATTTCATAGATAGTATTATTATTCTTTATTTTAATAAGTATTAATACTCTATATAATAGCGACGTAGTATATATATATAAAGTATATATATACGAAGTATAAATATACGAAGTATATATATAATAGCGATATTAATAGAATATATAATAGTAATAATAGTAATAATATTAAAGTATTAATTATAGCGTAAAGAAATAGAGAAAGAGTATAAAGACTTTTAATATATAAGTCTTATTTATATAGTATAATAAATAGAAATCTTCTTACTATTCTCTATTTTAATTATATTTTATTAATATATCTAATATTTAAAGTATTAATTATTATAATAAAACTCGAATCTAAGTATTTACTAAGTCTTATTAATTATAATTATAAATAAAACGTTATACTACTCGAAAAGATATATTAAGAATTTATAAGAAAGTCGAAAGATAATAACTATACTATTAAAATTATAAGCTTATTTAAAAGAGAATTTAGAAGTAAATAGTAGTAAATATCGAGATATATTACGAAGATAATACGTCTTAAAGATAATAATAAGTATAGAAAAGATCGTAGAGAAGATATATACGATAGTTAGTTACGATTAGCTATACGTATATAGAAGTATAATCGTTAAATAAATGTAATTATATCGAAAGTATTATGAGAATCGTACTAAGTCTTTTAAACTATATTAGACGCGATTTAAGAACTTATCTTACTATCGACCTCCGTAAGAGTCTCGAATAATATTTCTCGAAAAGCTATATACGAGGTTTATATCTTATATGACTAGCGGCCACGCGAAAGCTAATCGAATTTAGAGAGAGTATATATATATTAAAAGAGAGTATATATATATAAAAAGAAGATATACGTATTATTATATCTTATAATTAAAATATTTTATAATTTAATATTCTTAATTAATATATATAATAGAATAAGATAGAGCTAAATTAGAAAATCTTAAATTTATATATGGGTTCGGGATCTTGGCGGGATATTTCACGATATAATATATCTATGAGATTATATTATGAAATAATATATATATAAAATATCTCTACTAAGATTTCTATATTTATAGAATAATCCGACTAAGATATATAGAATATATTTATTCTTCTTTATTAAGAGAGAGGGAATATAAAGAGTAATTTAATATAGCTATTTATCTTTTTATTAATATTAATAATTAGAATAATAATTAGAACTATAAGCGTCTCTATTCTTCTTCTTAAAATTATAATATAAAAGAATATTCTAAATTTTAAATCTTTAAATATTATAAGAATAAAATTCTATAATTATCTTTATTTATATATTTATCTTAACGCGTTAGATAAGCTTAATAAACTTTATATTTATTCTTCTCTTAAACTCTAATTTACTCTTCTATTCTACTCTATCTTAATTCTATTAAATATCTTAAGTCTATCTCTATCTAATTAAACTTATTAACTATTTATAAATAAATTCGCTTTTTAAATTATTTTAAATCTCTTCTTTAAGATTAAATCTATTATTATTAACTCTCTCTAATTATAAATTTATTAATTATTTCTCTATATATTATAGAGTATTAATAATATATCTTAATAAATTTATAAATATTAAACTTATCGAAGTACTTTTTATAAGCTTATTATCTTTATTAATATAATTATTATAAATATTAATTAAGTTTTTATATAAAGTACTATTAGCTCTTTTAATCTAATTCGATATATTAAGATCTTCTTTAAGATTAAGTTTAATCTTATTTAAGCTTATTTTCTTAATATTTTATATAAAGAATTATTATTAGAGTATAAAATATCGCTAATAAATAATACTTTTAAGTATTATAATATCTTTTAGTTATTAAAAAATATCGCTTATATATAATAGCCCTCGCGAGAAGAATAAAGAATATTATAAGTTATTTGAGCGACTATAGCGTATTTAAACTTTAATTTCTTTTATTACTTTAAAATTAAAAGATTCGCTAGATTATTAAAAGAAGCTTTATAAAGATTAGAAGTAAGATTATAATTAGAATAATAATTAGAAGACTTATTATTTCTTCTATATTACTAAAGCTAATTATATTTATTCTTATTATCTAAATTCTTAATCTTAAATTTTATCGCTTAATTAAGCGTATTTTTATTTAATTAATTTATTCGCTTAGCTCTTTATAATTAACTACTTATATTAATATTTTAATAATTTTAAAATATCTTTTTAAGCGCTTTTTAGTAGATCTTTATCTATAGCTTCTTTTTAATATTAATCTTTTAATTTAATTTCTTTAACTTTATATTATTATAATTTAAATATAAAAGCGTAACTTATTTATATAGATAGTTTAAATCTAATTAAGTTCGATTATAATAGATAGTTAATTTCTCATAAGCCGTCTTAAAAGCTTTAAGAAGTTCTTTTTTTTAAGAAACTCTCTTTCTTCTTAATTTTCCGAGCTTTTTATCTATATAATTAAATAGATAATTATAAATATTAAAGATGTAGTAAATTATAATCTTCTTTTCTCTATTTATTAATTTTATAAATTTATAAAAAGATCTAATAAGCTAAATTAAATATTAAATCTATTAGAAATTAATTAAAAATTATTTAGACGTCTAGACTATAATTTTTATTTATAATTATTTTTTATTACTTAATCTTAAATAGATAGTTAATCTATTTTTTAAAAAGTATATAATATTAATATAAAGAAGTAGAGCGCGGATTAATATCTAATAAATTAAATTTTAGCGAGTCTTAATATTCTAAAAGAGCTTAAAAGAGCGTCTCTAATAATATTACTTTTTTTAGAAGATTAATATTTATCTAATATTAAAATATTTTTATCTTAAAGTCGTTTAGCTTTATAATATAAAAAAGATCTCTTTACGCTAGTCGCTAATATTAATATATATAATAATTTTTTAAATTTTAATATAATTAATAATATAATAATTAGAATAATAATAAGAAATATTATATTTTTATTAGAGTTATCGATAGATTAATTATATTTATTTAAACTTAATTCTTATCTTCTTTATTACTCTTAGCTTCTCTAAAATTTCTTATTTATTAAAATAACTCTAATATTATCTAGAAGTTCTTTTAAGATTAATTAAATAATATACGCTATATATAAAAATATATTATAAATAATTTAAGAACTTAAATTCTTTAATATTAAGCGAGTTATTTATTACAAAAATAAGAAAGATAAATAATTAAATCGTTAAAGAGTATATTATTATTACTAGCGTTATTAGTTATAAATTTAAATATATAAAATTAAATCTTATATTTTATAAGAATTAAATTAATAATACTTATAAGTTTCTAGCTAATATATTTATCTTCGATATATTTAAAGTCTATAAGAATCTTATACTATTATTAATTAATATTAATAAAAAAGATTAGAATTATTATAAATAATTAATAATTATAAAATAATTAATAATTTAGAGTTAGAGAGACTTTAATATTATCGACTAATAAATTCTTTAATAATTCTTATCTCTAGCTCTATAGCTTTTCTTATTAATTAATTCTTTATAATAAATATTAATTTTAATTATATATTAAGAGTCAAGATAGCGTAAAAGTTATAATATTTTAGAATTATTAGTAATTATAAATAAAATATTAATATTTATAATTTAGCGATAAAATTATTTCGAGAAGTCTTCGCGTATAAGCTTTCGATCTTCTAATATTATAAGAGAATTTTAATATTATCTTTTCTAGAGTAAATAGTAAGCTAGATATTCTATTTATCATTTTATTTATTAATAATTTATATCATCTAATTTAGAAATATATCTAATTTTTATAATTATTAATTAGATTCGTTTATTATAAACTACTTAAATTAGATTTCTTAATATATTTCTTAAACTTAATATATACTATTATATCGCTTATTTTATAATCTATAAATAAATAAATTAGAATCTTATTATAGTAATAATAAATAATATATAGCTTCTCGAAATCGACGAGCGTATATTCGTTAAATTATAT